ATGTATTCTATTTGACTCACGCATGCGCAGACAAATGTCCCTGCTGTTCAGATAACATCGAAATGTGCTGAAAACAAAAACGTACACCACAAGACGAAGCAGAAAAGGCAGACTTATAATCCCAGAGATACGGCAYCCATTTATATGACCACAAGCTTTAAATTAATATTATTATCTAATCGGATATTAAACTTTTTCTTTTGTCCATGTTTGAAGTAGTTTAAAAGCAGTAATCAAATACATACTAGTTACCACTTTTTAAAAGCCAGATGTTACTTAACGAACAGATTACTTTTCTCCGTGTATCTGTACTCTCTAACTCTAATAGATATACTGATGACGTCAAAAATCATATTTTAGGAAATACAATAAATCATTAGTCTGCTCTTAATTAAGTGTTGAGTGTTCACTTACCTCTTTTTTGGACTTCGAGTAGTTCTATCAATGCTTGAATACTGTCTACAAAATAAATACTTATAGTATTTTGTGCTTTCCTCACGAAAGAGTTTTGCTTAATCGATAGTGTATGTAATAAGTACTTTCTTTTGTATTTACAGAAATGAACTTGACGTTCGCGTAATGTGGAATTAAAATAAAGTTACCAGTTACCTTTGAATTCCAGGCCATGCTTTGTTTTCCTTTCTGTTGAAAATCAAAACAATTATTAGTCTGTTTTACCACGACAAGGTTCACATTAATCATTTTAATGTTTAAGACTCTTAGTGTTAAAGATTATGGTAATCAAGAAGGAGCAGAATGAAGGAAAGACAAAGCAAAAAAACGTTAAACGAAAATGCCGCATTCAGAGTCAAATAACAGAAAAACGCTATAACTATTGACAATATTTGAAAACTATAAAACAATCTAAGCCTGATCTCTAATTGTTTTGAGTGCTTCTGTTTCCCATTTAACATGCTGTGACAACATAAAGAAACGGRGCAATTAATTAGATCAGAATATATATGTTATTTAAATGAAGCTGTCTTAAAAAGCATTAGAAGCCGAGTTACAAAACACTCAACTCGTTGAGCAACATTTTTGCTTTTCAAGTTTGGCGTCCATGTTTCTCGTTTTTCCGGAGCCTGGCAACGTGTTGGGCACCAAAAAACTGACCATGAAAAATGAGAAGCGCTGAAGCTAAACCTGCACAGTAAAAATGTTCAACGACAAATTGATTTTTTTTCTCCGCTAGGATACTTGAAACTTTGAGCATGAAACAAAGAATCCAMTTTCAAACACTAGACCCGCATATATTTCGTAACTTTCGGTCTGCATCAAAAATTATATGGGCATTTGGTACGAGATTGAAAAGAATCGGTACTTTAAATGACAACATAATTGTATATCGAATCAGCTGTAAAGCAGCATGATGGGTATCCAATCTGACTCAACTACTTACCAAAGACGCGAATCATGTTTGCCAACTCTTTCTTCAGCTTACTCAGCTCTTCCTTGATACCGCTGACGACTTCATCAAGGATAAACGGCTGATCACTCTCCGTACCCTTCATTTGAATATCTGACGTCAAAAATTCACGAATTATTTCAATACCAACTTGAAAGAAAACATTGTTTGAATACCACTTTTCTTCTAGTGTTTGTCATCTGATGATTGTCTAGTGATGTTTTTTTTAACCCTCCCTGTGTATTTTTTTTGTGTGCATGTTTATTGAAATAAAAAGGAAAAAAAAAAAAACTCCAGTGAAATCCTGGATAYATGTGTGTTTTTTGTTTTGTATTTTCATCAAGATATCTGGAGATTGTATAACTATTCCCATATATATAAAGAATACTTCTTACCATTGAATTGAAGCAGCACTCGATCCAGGGTGTCAACATGGCTATCTACTTGTGATTTTAGCTCTGTAACATCAGAAGCAGCCGGCAGATCTTCGGGTAGAAAACGTCTGACATCCTGTAGATGTGACATGAAATGGTCCCATACGCCGCTATACCACCATATTCTTACTAGTTCATCTTTGGTAATACGAGACACTATTGACAAAATGACCATTAACGCTTCAGACGAAAGTTTGTTGCCAGGCTTCAGTTTATTTAATGCAGCAGTCATCATGGGTATCATCGCTTCAATACTCAAACTGTAGGAGCCCAAAGCACTTCCTTTCTCAACTGAATCTACCATGGCTTCAAGATGTGACTGTAATCGTGAAGTAATATCAGAAGATTCTGGGAGTAGAGATGACATCGCAAGTATAATAGATACGGCGTCACTGAGTACTTCCCGCTCGCCACGGTAAATAGCTCTTTCGGAAACTAATTTCATCAGCTCGGCCAAGCACGAAAGAACATGATTCTGAGAATCACTGTTAAGATTAGTCCAACTAAATAAACTTATCTTCTTCAAAATGGCTTCACTGGTGCAAAGTATGCCTTTAAAAACGTCATTACTGATCTCGGGATGTTTAGACAAATGCTGAATTACATGTTTTATCATACTTTGCAGATCTGACGTCAGCCTGTTTTTAATACCATCATCAATGTTCTCCCATGGTAGTTTTTCCAGTACCTTAGTGTTTTCCTGCATCACTTGAATCAATACATCAGTGCTCAGGTCAGGATGTTTAACAAGTTGCTCAGCAACCCAAGTCGTCATAGTTTCTATACTTGAGGTCAGCTTCATTTCAATAACAACATTAAGGTAGCCCCATGGTAGTTTCTCCAGTACTTTAGTGTTTTCCTGCATAATTCGAATCAATTCATCAGTGCTCAGGTCAGGATGTTTAGCAAGTTGCACAGCAACCCAAGTCGTCATAGTTTCTATACTTGAGATCAGCTTCATTTTACTTTCTTCATCAAGTTGATACCATCGTAGTTCCTCCAGTACTTTAGTGTTTTCCTGCATCACTTGAATCAATTCATCAGTTTTCAGGTCAGGATGGTTAACAGCTCGCTCGGTAACCAAAGTCATCATAGTTACTATACTTGAGATTTTGGTACTACCATCAAGGCGATGCCACGGTGCTCTTCCTAATACCTTTACAATTTCCTGCATCACTTTAATCAATACATCAACATTTAGCTCAGTGTTGCTGACTATTCCGATTAGATCAGTTGTCAGCTGCTGAAATAATTCTAACAATTCTTCTGGTTTGGTTTTCCACAAAGGATCTAATTGATTGCTAAGAAACTCTTGATCTGCAAGCAGTTTTGATGTTGCTTCGTCAAACTTGTTCTTCAAACTTACATTCTCCCTGTTCACTTCTTCTCGTTCATGTTGGATTCTTTGTAATTCGCTCTGCAGCTCAGCAATCCTCTCACTTACTAAGGGTTGCTTCTCGTTCTCAAGGATATGTAATTCGCGTACTAGCTCGGCAACTTTCTTTTCTGCTTTTCTTCTCTTGTTTGATTCTATCTTTGATTCGTTGTAGATTTCTCTAACTTTAATCCAATCGCTCCAGGCCAGCCCGGTCATTGTGGTTCTGGGTAAATCCATGTCACATGACGAGTGCCTATGTTCTCTGCCTACAGAGGAACTCTCTTCAGTCGGTTTGYATCGATCTTTGAAATATGAACAAAATATGTAAGTACCATTATTATATTTCAAAAAACAATGTTTTCACTGATGGTAATGATTTTTCATGTGATTAATTACTAGACCGACATTACCGTGAAAAACTTAGCAGCTTATGACATATAAGCGAAAACTTGCGGTAAAATTTACATCCGATTATATGAGAGTAAGAGCGTTATTGAAAGCCAATCAGCATCTAGTATATATAATCACGTAGTTCGCTGGGTGTGCAGAACACGGTTCGTTGGTCCAATTCTCAGACGGATTTTAGCGTAAAAATTTTCGGAGTAAGTTCATGAACGTCAAAATAAAGGCAAAATCTGAGGAAAACTGAAAAGTAATCTAGAACGCGCTAAAACCTTATGAAAAGATCGAATGTTTGAGGAAACTAAGTTAATTTTATTACGAGAAAGCACAAAAATACAAAATTCCAAAGCTATTTATTTTTTTTGTTATGGAGCAAAACATATNTCCTGTCCGCTAGGCCGTTTTCACAACTTTTGTATGACCACACCTTTGCTGGGCTACATGAGACTTGTTTTACCCTATTTAGGGTATGATATGTTAATTGCTCGTGTTTATTCATTTTTATTATTAAAGCGGCTATGAGATTTCCTCTTAGCCATTTTAACCCAATCTGTCTCAGTTGAATGCGCACCCAGCAAACAGAGCTCAGGCCATGCAGTATAATGGGTAGTATTTATGTTACGGATAGGGAGTGACATAAATAACTGTACTACCGATTCCTTGTGTTCTTTGTCAAACAACGCTTCAAAATTCAACAAAAAATCTTTACTAGCTGCCATTTTTGTAATCACGCCTGCATGATCTAGCTTAAAACTTGAAAATGACGTGAAAACCTCACCGCTGCATTTTGAGAAATGTTCTACCACTGAGAAAAAGCAAAGAGTTTTGCTAGATTGCACTCAGTTACACCAATAAAAGAACTCAAAAGTAATTTCAGAGTTTTTTTTATACTTTGTCTGCAGTTTAGTTTACCTTTCATGGACTGCAGTCAAAACTCAAATCCGTACTTCGAGCTATTTCAATCAACAACAAGCCTTATATTGTACTTGTGTGTTAGTATATTTTCGTCAGTTCGCTTTATTAGAGATCAAAATTTTACAGCAAAATGAGACTTTATCCATGACATTCATTCAAATAGTTTGGTAAAGTCACTGCAATTTTATGGCCAGACGATCAAAAATACGATTTTTACCCTATCCCGTTAGGTCGTGTTTTTGTAGACAATTTTTTTCGCTCGGGCTTATGTTAACAAGTTCAGCATGTTAGCGCTCATTAGCTGCTTCATTTTCAAGTAATCAGCTAGATTATATCATTTTACCCGCCATTTGCAGGAGAACGGCGTCCCAGCATGCATCCCTGTATTCATCCTCATCAATGGTGACTTCCACGTCAATCTCCTCTCCATTGAACACTTCTCTGACTTCTTTTATGCCATTAAGAACTTTTCTGATGTTTTCTTGAAGTGATCCATCCTTATAGCACGACCAAAGTTCTTTTAGGGCTGACAAACTGGATGACTTCACGATAAAACTAATAGATCCTTCTCTGACTCCAAGAAGTTTTATCGCCAGTGGTAAAACCTTTTGTATGGATTCTAATGCTTCTGGAGTGTTGTGCAATACAGTAAGAAGTAAACCCGAAACAGCTGTTACTTTGACAAATGTGGAACTAGATATAATG